GGGCTCAGGCAATCCACTCACCTCAGCCTCCCAAAGGCGCGGGATGACAGGCCGAGCCACTGAGCCCGGCTAATGTTTTTTTTTTAATTTCCTGCAGAGACAGGGTCTGGCTATGGTGCCCAGGCTGGTTTTTAATGCCTGACCTCAAGCGGTCCTCCCACCTCGTCCTCACAAAATGCTGGGATTACAGGTGTGAGCCACCATGCCTGACCTCACTGATCTTTCAGTGGTACGGATCAGGGTGGTTGTGAGGATTAAATGAGATAAAGCATTCCGTGTCTGGCTCAGGAGGTGCCAAGTGTCAGCTGTCCCTGGCAAGCAGGGGCTTACCAACGCGCTTCTCAGAGCGCGACAACACTGTCCACTGCAGGCCACAGCTGACCAGGCTCCTCAGCAACTCCTTCCCTCTGCCTAGACCCTGTCCGTGTTGCACTGGGGGAGCATTCTAGCAAAAACTAGAAGAACCTGCCCCCTAGTTTGGACTGACGCCCTTCAAAACCTGCCGGCAGGAGCCATCTGGAGAACAATGTCCCTTCCACTGGGACCCTGGGAGATGGCCCTCCTGCCGGCCTCAAGCCAGCCCAGGGCCTGGCTGACCGGAGACCCTTGCGTGCCAAAGCTGGGCTCTGACTCCGCCTGCTTGAGCGGTTGGAGGGAAGGAGTGAGGCAGCGGCACAAGGCTGCCCCTTGGAGTCACCGCGCCTTGGGGAGGCGGCCACTGTGGAGGACCCGGGCCCTGAGGGGGTGGAGGAGGTGGGCCCTGCCGTTGGCTCTCCTGGCAAAAGCCACGAGAGAGGAGCGCACACCCCCAGCTCTGACCATTTGCCCCTCTGCAGGCAGATGGCCATTCAAGAAAACTTCTGCCTGGGATGAAAGACACCTTCATGGAAGGCTGAGGCAGAAGGGTCGCCGGAGCCCAGCAGGTCGAGGCTGCGGTGGCCGGGAGCGGACCCTGCACTCCAGTCTGAGCGACAGTGAGACTCCAACTCAAAAAAAAATAAACAAAAAAGAGCGCACATGGCCTTCAAGGAACACAGAACTTGTCGCCAGGAGTTTGGCACGTGAGAAGTTTGTCCTGTGATTAGCCCAGCAAACCGCTCTCCCTTCCCAAGCGTTGGGACACCTTTCTCTTCTTTTTTGAGTTGGAGTCTCTCTGTCACCCAGGCTGGAGTGCAGTGGCAGCTCCTGGTAGCTGGAACTACAGCCACGCACTACCACGCCCAGCTAATTTTTGATGTATTGTAGAGACGAGGTCTTGTCAAGTTGCCCAGGCTGATCTCGAACCTGCAGGCTCAGGCAATTCACTCACCTCGGCCTCCCAAAGTGCTGGGATGACAGACTGAGCCAGGGAGCCCGGTGGAACATCTCTTTTTGGTAATTTTTTCTCAAAGAGCCACATGGGCCATGCCCTGGGCGTGCCCGGCCCACAAGCCAGAGGCCACACAGAGGCACGCCCCAACAGCATCCAGCAGCCAGCCACAGGCCAGTGGCTCCTTCCCACCTCCCAGCAGACACGGGGCCCACAGGGGTGCAGCGAAGACGGCCTCTCCCCTGTCCCAGGAAGCGCTTCCAGCCTCTTTGCAGCTCCCCTGGGCCGGGCCTGGCAGGAGCCTGGCTGGGGCCAAGTCGCGTTGACAGCGCCAGCTGCCCCCTGGGGCTGAGAGGAACCCAGCTGGTGACTTGCCTCCCCTGTTAGGAGCCACCCTTCCTGGGAGCCTGTCTTCTGTGAGCAGAGGGAAGAGCGGGAGTCTTTCTGGGAGACAAAGACTATCCCGAGTAACCCAGTAAGAAACACTTGTCTGTGCAATTCGCTCTCCCCCAATACGGGCACTGAAATGTACAGCTGGCCAGAGGTCAGAACACCTGGCGCAGGACGCTCCAGGATGCAGAGCAGGTACCTCCGGGGGAGGACCTTGACCTCCACCCAGAACTTCTGGAAAGTGACGCAGACACAGCCTCTGGGCTGTCCCCACCTCTGGCTGCTGGCCCCAGACCCCGAGGCCTTCTCAGACCTGAGGGAGGGAGTGGGCCACTGCAGCCACGTGCCTTCGGGGCTCAGGCCCACACGGCCCCAGCACCCCAGCATCCAGAAGCAATCCCAGCAGATGAACAAAGTGTCTTTTATTGGCGACATACACACACAACCAACGCAAGAAAGAGATCACTTTTCCCTTTGAGTCCAGTGAAAACAAGTTGCTAAAGAAAAAAAACATACATATCAAAGAGCTTATCTTTCGAGTTTCCTCTAAAAAAAACCAGAAAGGGCTAAAAAGAACCATACATGTGTCCTATACACATCTGATGCCAACAAAAATAACCTGAAATGGGGTGGGTACAACCAAAAGTTTTAAAATCTTGCAAAATATGTTAACATGCCTCAAACAAAAAACAACAAACAAAAACCTGACACGAAAGCTCTGCTGTTTCTCAAAACCAAGCTGGAAAGTGAAGACAGACTGATATTCTGGAAACTGGGGCCTGACACTGACTGTCCCCTGGCCTGTGGTCCCAGCACTTCCCACCCAGCCTGGTCTCCTGAGGAGCCCCTGGGTGCACCTGCAGAGGCTGGGTGAGCAGGGCATGGCGCCCAGGCCGCCTGCCCGTGGGCTTGGTGCTGGGTATCCCGTGACCGGAAACACCACACACACTGAACTCGCCTCCTGTGGGGTTTACACTGGGGTTCCCTTTTGGTCCCTTGAGTGGGAGGTATCAGAAATTCATGGCCTAAGATAGTAAGTCCTTCTCATTCTGTGTCCTTTGAGAAACAGGGACCAGAGGAAACCTTTTCCTAAAATGCTTGTCGGTTTCTGGTTTTCAGAAGCCTGCCCGTCTCCTCCCAGCAATGTCAACTGTCGCCTGGGGTCCAACCCCAGAGGCCAGAAGGGTGAAAGGCAGACTTGTTCTAGTGTAAAGCTGTGAGGCCCTCTTCAAGGGGTGCACGGTCCCACCGCTGGGGGGTCAAGGGCAGTGCAGAGTACTCAGCAGAGGGGCCCGGCCCCGGGTGCACAGACCCCTGCATGGGCAGGAATCTGGGCGAGAGGCGAAGAGTGCCCTGGGGAGAGATGCTGGGAGCCTCCCGAGTTGCGCAGCGGACAGGCTGTGAGCAGGTGCCGTGGAGCAGAGGGCCCACAGACCCCCGTGGGAGCAACTCAGAAGCTAGAACCTTCCCGGTACTCCCAAGCCGAGCTCGGGACATCCAAGGGGAGGTGAGAGTGCTTGTTCCTTGATGAGGATTTGGTTTTTTTCCCTGGAAGAGGAACAGGCCTGGAGATCAGGGAGAGTGTCAGTTCCGAGCCCACCTCCTCTGCCCATGAGAAGAGGATGGTCCTCACCCCGTCCCGCTCTAGCCTGCTGCCACAGGGCGACAGAGAGAAAAGCAGCTGCTTTGGCCACTGAGAGGCGTTCCTGCCGCAGCCTGAGCTGCGGCTGGGCCAGGGCAGTGGCACGAGGGCCTCACAGAGGCAGCGAGGGGCGAGGCTGGGGAGCGCAGGCAGAGGGGCCTGCTGCTGGCTGGGGGCTCTCTGGGGGGGAAGGTGGTGGCGGGAAGGGCCGCCCACCCTCAGAGAGCTGTCAGCACCAAGAGATGAGAGGAAATGGCATTCCCGATCCAGGACAAGGGTCCTTCCGGGCATGACGAGGGACTCCCTGATGCTCCTCACCCCGCAGACCAAGAACAGGGATACGGGGCAGAGGCACAAGGAGGGGCGACGGAGAGGAGCTTTCTCCTGTGAACGAAAGCACGAGTTGCTGCTGTGAGATTGAGAGGTCGAGCCGAGGACACAGCGAGTCCAAGAGCCCAGAGAAGCAGCAGCCGTCCCACGCCAGGCCCCCACCACGCCAGGCTCCTGGTCCTCAGCCTCCCTCAGCGACAGTGATGGAGGGAGGCAGCCTTCCTCCCAGAGCTGGCTGGGCTGAAGTGGCTCCAGGGACCCACAGAAACAGCTGGAAAGAGCTGTCCTCACACCCCTGCCTCTCGGCACAGAAGGGCTTCCGCGTGTCCACCAAAGCGTTCCACCCACGAAAGGGCAGTCTCTCTGAAGCCTCTCCCTACGCCCAGACCTTACACAGAGTGCAGGCCTCTTCCGGGACCAGCGGATTCCGAGACGTTCACAGAGCTGGCACAAACAGCCCTTCTGTCCGAGGGGGGCACCTGCCAAGAACCTGGGGGCTGCAGAGACGCGAAGGCCTCTCCGCTGACCCCCGGGGCCCAGGGTGGAGGCAGCCGCCATGTGGGAGCCTCGTGGCCGGCCCCCAGCTCTTCCCGCTCCTCTCCACTCCCCCTGGCACTTGGGCCTCCTGGGAGGGAGGAGGAAGGGCGGCTCGGACCACCCCTCCCAGCTCTGCTCTCAGGGTGCAGCCTGACACAGGCAGGGCCCACGAGGCCACAGCCCTGAGGGCACCTGGCAGGCAGCGTGAGACCGAGGGGGAGGACAGGCCTAGGAAAGAGCATCGTGACCGCAGTGTCTCTGGGAGCTCAGTGGCAGCAGCCGCCGCAGTGCCCGCCGGCGTGGGAGTGCTGGCTGTCGCCAAACTTGGTCCTCCGGCTCAGAATCTCGTAGGAGCAGTCCTCCCCACAGCAGCCAGACACGCTGGGGGAAGAGTCATCAATCTCAAACCTGCAAGGCAGGCCGGAGAGAAGGGTTGGCCGCAGGTAGCGGAGGGCCTTCCGCCCAAGCCCAGGAACTTGTCCACCAGCCACACGGATGAGGCCCGGAGGACGAGGGCGGTCCGAGGGCACTGCCACACCACCTCGCCAGGTCTCAGCACCATGGGCCGCTGGACTGTGAGCTCCGGCATCAGGACGAGTGGGGCCAGGTCCAGGAGCACGCACTGGGCAGACCGTCCCACCACCCAGAAAGACCCACACCAGGCGCAGCTCCTTACTGCAGGGCCTCTCGGAAGAACTGGTAGGCGCCATGATTGTGTTTAAATACTGTTAACATAACCTTCTTCATCTGTGTGCTGGAAGAAAGCAGAACAAGCACCTTTTGGAGAAACAGACTGGGCGTGATGGCTCATAACTGTAATCAGAACTTTGGGAGGCTGAGGCAGGAGAACTTGAGGCCAGGAGTTTGAGACCAGCCTGGGTAACACAGCAAGACCCCACCTTTTTTTTTTTTTGAGTGGGAGTTTCACTCTGTCACCCAGACTGAAGTGCAGTGGCTGCTCCTGGCCACCGCAGCCTCGACCTGCTAGGCTCCGGCGATCCTTCCGCCTCAGCCTTCCAAGTAGCCGGAATTACAAGCATGCGCTACCACGATCGGCTGATTTTTTTATTTATTGTAGAGATGAGGTCTCGCCAAGTTGTTCAGGCGGGTCTCGAATCCGCGGGCTCAGGCAAACCACTCACCTCAGCCTCCCAAAGGTGGGGGATTACAGGCTGAGCCACTGAGCCCGGCTAACCCCACCTTCTATATTTATAAAATTAACAAACATTTTTTGGCTGGGCTTGGTGGCTCAGCCTATAATCCCAGCACTTTGGGAGGCTGAGGCAAGAGGACTGCCTTAGCCTGCAGGTCCGAGACCAGCCCTGGCAACTTGGCGAGACCTCATCTCTACAATAAATCAAAAAATTAGCTGGGCGTGATAGCACACACCTGCAGTTCCAGCTACTTGGAAGGCTGAGGCGGAAGGATCGCCACAGCCCAGCAGGTGGACTCTGTGGTGGCCGTGAGTGTACCACTGCACTCCAGCCTGGGCGATGGAGTGAGACTCCAACTCAAAAAACAAACATTTTAGCCGAGCTCAGTGGCTCAGCCTGTAATCCCAGCACTTTGGGAGGCTGAGGTGAGTGGATTGCCTGAGCCCGCGGGTTTGAGACCTGCCTGGGCAACTTGGTGAGACCTCATCTCTACAATAAATAAATAAAAAATTAGCCGGGCGTCATAGCACGCACACCTATAGTTCCAGCTCCTTGGAAGGCTGAGGCAGAAGGATCGCCGAACCCCATCAGGTCGAAGCTGCGGTGGCCAGGAGCGGCCAATGCACTCCAGTCTGGGTGACAGAGTGAGACTCCAACTCAAAAAAAAACAAAAAAAAAACCAAAAATGACAAACAAACATTTTTTTTTCCCTTCCATTTTTATTTATTTATTTATTTATTTATTATTAGTTGGAGTCTCACTCTGTAGCCCAGACTGGAATGCAGTGGCCGCTCCTGGCCACCGCAACCTTGACCTGCTGGGCTCCAGCGATCCTTCCACCTCAGCCTTCCAAGTAGCTGGAACTACAGGCATGCGCTGCCATGCTCGGCTAGTTTTTGATTTATTGTAGAGACGAGGTCTTGCCAAGTTGCCCAGGTAGGTCTCGAACCCGCGGGCTCAGGCAATCCACTCACCTCAGCCTCCCAAAGGCGCGGGATTACAGGCTGAGACACCGAGCCCGGCTAAACATTTTTTTAAAAAAGAAGAGAAGCTGGGCTTGGTGGCTCAGCCTGTAATCCCAGCATTTTGGGAGGCTAAGGTGAGTGGATTGCCTGACCTGCGGGTTCAAGACCCGCCTGGGCAACTTGGTGAGACCTCATCTCTACAATAAATCAAAAACTAGCCGAGCATGGTAGTGTATGCCTGTAGTTCCAGTTACTTGGTAGACTGAGGCAGAAGGATTGCTGGAGCACAGCAGGTCGAGGCTGCGGTGGCCAGGAGCGGCCACTGCACTCCAGTATGGGTGACAGAGTGAGACTCCGACTTTAAAAAAAAAAAAAGGAAGCCGGGCTCGGTGGCTCAGCCTGTAATCCCGTGCCTTTGGGAGGCTGAGGTGAGTGGATTGCCTGAGCCCGCGGGTTCGAAACCCGCCTGGGCAGCGAGACCTCATCTCTACAATAAATCAAAAAATCAGCTGGGCGTGGTAGCGCATGCCTGTAATTCCGGCCACTTGGAAGGCTGAGGCGGAAGGATCGCCGGAGCCCAGCAGGTTGAGGCTGTGGTGGCCGGGAGCGGCCACTGCACTCCAGTCTGGGTGACAGAGTGAGACTCCAACTCAAAAAAAAAAAAAAAAAAAAAAAAAAAGGAAACAGAGATTAAAGTCAGGCTTCCTCTTCCTCATTCTCTGCCTGCTCCGTCCCTTTAGCCAGAGAAGTACTCCTGCATCCCTCCTCTAGCCCCTGGGGTCTTGGGCCCCCACGGCCCTCAGTGCTTCCCACTGCCACAGGCTGATGAGACCGCACAGGCGTCAGGCTCCTGCCCACCCTGCGTCTTCTGGAGCAGGGCCTCTCCCATTACCTCTGCCGCCCCGTTTCTTGGGCACAGAACCGGTACCAATTGGCCCTCAGGAGATGCTCGCTGAGCTGAGCGGAGACACGAAGTCTGGAGTCACCGCAGGGCAGGGAGCACCTTGCTGAGAAGGTGCTAACCACCTTTCTCCCAACATATCCCCTCGGACCTCGCCTCCAAGGAGGCTTCCAGAACGGCCGAGTGGCCAGGGCCTCACCTGTTGGCCATGAGCTGCAGGATCTGGATGAGGAACTTGCCCAGGCCTTTCCGCCGCACCTTGCTCTCCAACTGCACCTCGTAGCTGTGAGGAGAGAGCAGGTGAGCGCACGGCACGGAGGGACAGTAGTCCCGGGCGGCCCGCGGAGCCGGACAGGCCCAGTGGGCCATGCCACCAGGCCAAGGGCCAGAGCGTCCCCGGGGACCCCGCCCCGCCGCCTGCCCGAAGCCGCGGCGCCTACCAGTACAGGACCTCATCCCCGCACTCCACGTCAAACCGGAAGTGCGAGAAGGCAACGGGGACGGAGCGGTTTTCCCAGGCGATGAGGTACCAGGCCCGGTCATCCGTCATCTCCTCCCGCTTCTCCCGGTCCTTCCAGCCCCACTCGCTCTGCTCGTACCTGGGGAGTCGGGGCCAGTCAGGGCAGGGATGGCGGGAGAGGAAGCCGGCTGGGCACCCGGGCTCCCGGACAGGCTTACATGGTTTGCATGTTGGTTTTGGTCAGGTCGAAGGCCCAGTCCACGGTGGCGGGCTCCAGCCCAGACACGCGCTTACATTCAATGGAGACGTCCAGCCTGAGGGGACACGGAGGTGTCAGGAGCTGGCCCCACGGGCCTCCCTGGGACACCTGTCTCAGTCGCCTGTCTCAGTTGCCCGCCGGGGAAAAGCCAAGCCAGGAGGAGGAGCCCCTGCAGGGACCAAGCCCAGGGGAGCAGCTGCCATCAGGGCCACCACCCGGCTACAGGCCCTTCTCCTACCTCCTGCGGTCCTTGTCACTCTGTAAGTTTGTCCCCTCTGCTGTCCCTTCGTCCACCTACCCCTCCCTCTCTCCGAGGCCCTGCGATAAACACTCAGTATTACTGCGCTCCTGCCTCAGGCCTTTTCCCTGTGGCTGCCATTTCTCCCTCACTGGGCTCCCATGGGCCCTCCTCCCCCTTATCTGCCTTCAAAGCCACCGGGTGACCCCTCCATCAAGAAGCCCAATCAGGGCAGGGTGGCTCAACACCCCCCTAGAGTCCTGCCTGCCTGGGGGTGGGGGGAGTACTCTCAGCGGACCAAACAGGGTGGAGCAGGGTCCACCCAACACTGTTTTTCTAAACTAACAGATGCCGTAGGCGGTCAGGTCTCTGTTTCTCAAGGAAACTTCAGTAAGAAAGTTAGACTCCTGGGCCAATCTGTGAGATCACATTCTCAGGTAGCACCGCATTCCGTAAGGGCTGCAGTCAGCAAACTCCCACCCTCTGGAGAGCCTCGTGGCCTTTGGCACAGCCCTCATAGGACATTCCCCAGAATCTCCCGTCACCGCAGCTGACGGGCATGCCACAGGAGTGGTACAAACGAAAGCGCAGCCCTGTAAGTTCAGAACACCCTGCCCTGAAGCACCGTCTTCCACAAGCCCCGCCACAGAGCGGTCGGAACTGCCCCACACAGCGCGGCATCTGTCTCAGCCAGGAAAAGCCCAAGCCCGTCTCCGGGGCTGACGGCATCAGGAACCTGGCAGCGTGCGAAAGCGGGTCACAGCCAGGGAATCGCGCGACCCTGGAGCTACCGGGGGAGCCAGAGCGTCTGGCAGTGCCTGCTTCAGAACCACTGCGCATTTCTGGAGTCAGCGGGAATGCGGCAGGGAGAGACACAAGCGGGCATCACACAAGGGACCTCTCAGCCACGTCAGAGGGCCCCCAGAAGCTGAGTCACAAAGCTGCGAGAGGAACCGCAGCTGCTCGGACAGGAGGAAGGAAGAATAAATGCGGCATGATGCCATGAATCCCACGCGGCTACAGAAGGTGGACGGAGGGGCCGCCACCTCACCCACATGTCGGCCTCTGTCCGCTTGCTCACTAGAACGCTCATGCCAGTCATTCCCAGTGAGCGAGACGTGTTCTTTCCTCCCCAGAACAACCTTGTGAATCTGGCACCATCAGCCTGCTTGACAGGTAAAAAAAAGAGGCTTGAGGGCGACAAGTGCCTTGCCCAAGAGGCCCAGCGACGGTTCCATCCCCAGCCCAGAGGAACTACAACCCTGCTTTTCCCACGCCATGTTACATCACAGAAGCGCGGGGCACCAACAGCACTTGGGTGAGACAGACATGCTTCCTGCTTCAGAAATCAAAAGGACAAACAGGAGAGCCTTTAACCCAGCTCCTCTGGCAACCTGCTTCTGTAGTCACAACCACCAACACTGACCCAGCTTTTAGGTGTGCTCCAGGAACTGACACTCGGCATCTCATCATCCTGACAACCCATGAGGAACGTACTATCGCTAGATCCATTTCTGATTAGAAAATTCAGGCACAGAGAGGATAAGTAACTTGCCCAGGCCAAAGAGACACTAAGTTTTTAAAAAAGTTTTTAAAAAGTTTTTTAAATTTATGCTTTGAGTAGGAGTCTCATTCTGTCACCCAGACTGGAGTGCAGTAGCATGCTCCCAGTCACCGCAGCCTCAACCTGCTGGGCTCCGGCGATCCTTCTGCCTCAGCCTTTCAAGTGGCCAGAACTACAGGCACACACCACCACGCCTGGCTAATTTTTGATTTATTGTAGAGATGAGGTCTTGCCAAGTTGTCCGGGTGGGTCTCGAACCTGCAGGCTCAAGCAATCCACTCACCTCAGCCTCCCAAAGCACTGGAATTACAGGCTGAGCCACCGAGCCCAGCAATGGCTTTTAACAATTACATTATATACTCAAAGAAAGAGCACTGGATTGGAAACTAAAAGCCCCTCAGCTATTAGGAGGAAACTCCATAACTCAGAAAGCTCTTTCACCTCTCTGAGCCTCAGTTTCCCACAGGTAAAGTGAGGGTGTCAGCCTAGGCAATGTTTCAAGTTTGTTTCCACGCCATAATTCTTCTCACGGACAGAACAGTCCTAGAGAGACATCGGTCTGAGATTAAGTGCAATCTTCGCCCACCTGCAGCTTCTTCTCTCACCCTACCTGGGGATTCTGCATCAAGAGAACACTAGCCAGTTTCTGTAATACGAAAAAGAGGGAGAACTACTCTGGAAAGGCGCATTCCTGCAGACACGCAGGCGCCAAGGGGGAGGAACGCCAAATCCGACTCACCCGTTTCGATCGTACTTCTTGAACACTGGGAAGGCCTCCAGAGGGTCTCCGAGCTGTGGAGGGAAAGAAACAGGAATCGCACAGATGCGTGTGGCAGCAGGTGGAATCTACCCCAAAGCCCTGCTGTCAAGGGGGAGGATGCTCCGGGCCGAGCCCCCCACCCGACCTCCACCTGCCTCAGCTCTGACACGGCATGTGCGAGGAAGGCCTTGGGGGTGGAGGCCCAAGAGAGTTGAGTGTGGCGTCATTTGACAGAGTAGGAGGAAACCTGACTGGCCCCTACGCATAATACTCACAGTGCAGCTAACCTGAGAGAGGCCACCCGATCTGCCTGTGTATGTCTGGGAAGAGCCCCCAACTGACCTCACCTGGTCAAAACCTCAAATGGAAAATCATGTCCCTAGGCCTGGCTGGTGGTTCACGCCTGCAATCCCAGTATTTTGGGGGTCCGAGGCGGGAGGATCACTTGAGCCCAGGAGTCTGAGACTAATCTGAGCAACACAGTGAGATCCCATCTCAAAAAAAATAAAAGAAGGCCGGGCTCGGTAGCTCAGCCTGTAATCCCACAATTTGGGAGGCCGAGGTGAGTGAATTGCTTGAGCCCGCGGGTTCGAGACCCACCTGGGCAACTTGGCGAGACCTTATCTCTACAATAAATCAAAAAATTAGCCGGGCATGGTAGCGCATGCCTATAATTCTGGCTACCTGGAAGGCTGAGGCGGAAGGATCGCTGAAGCCCAGCAGGTCGAGGCTGCGGTGGCCAGGAGCGGCCACTGCACTCCAGTCTGGGCGACAGAGTGATACTCCAACTCAAAAAAAAAAAAGAATGAGGTCCCTGAGCCACATCCTTCTGAATGTGAAGCTGGGTGGGCTGTGAGAGTGACAAAAAGTGGGACGTGAAGCAGCCAGGAGGGACGACGGGACTCCAGGCTCCGTGTGAAAGGCGCAGCTAGAGATGCTCCCAGCCCGGTCCACCGGGTGCTCGGTCCACAGCTCCTCCTCCCTGGCGCGGCCCCCCGGGGGTGGGGGGGTGAGTGGGGGCGGGGACCGGGACCAGGCCACTGCATCCCCGCGGCCTCCACAGCCGTCAGTACCTCGTGGGTCAAGAAGTGTCAGAAAAAATGAACGAGGAAAGCACACATCACGTTTTCTCAAGGTGTCCTCCCCAGAACGAAAACTTCTAACAAAAACGTCTCCAGTCCCTCTTCTACCCACAGAGAAGAAGCCCCGTGGAGAAGCAGCCACTTCTGCTGGAATCGCCTGTTCCAGAACACCTGGGCCACCTCCTCCCCTCTCAGCAGGCCGGGGCCCGTTCCTGTGCGGCTGGGAGGCAGAGGGGCACGGCGGGCAGTGCCACAATGCTGCCACAGGGTGGCACCAAAGGAAGCCAAACAAAAAAGCAGGCGGCCATCCTGGAGGCAGGGCAGGGAAGAGGGGAGAGTCACCCTGTTGGCAGCGTCCACTTTGGCACAGACGGCATCCATGGCTGCTCGCTCCTCCAGGCGCTTCTGCTTCTTCTCCTTGGCTTTGCTCGACTTTCTCTGCAACAGGGGGAAGCAGCGATGGCTGGAGAGGGTGCGGCCAACCCCGGCCTTGACCGACCCTCCCTTGGAAGGGCCCCTGCATCTGCTGGGCTGGCCCAGGGGCAGGAAACGCCCTGCCAGGCTGCCACACTTGGTGGCGCAGGAAAGACCCGAGCAGGTACGGCCGCTTCACAGTGGCGAGTCCTCAGACATCACTAGACTTCTCAGCTCCCTTTCAGATGAACAGTGACCCGCCCGACCATGGCCACCATGGGGGCCCCGTGAGAGCGCTCCGGCCTCTGCAGGTGCCTGGTAAATGTACTCAGCATCCGCTCCTCCTGAGAAGGGAACACCCATCGCAGGCAAGTTCGGAGAAGCCTTCTGGGGGAGACGGCATCTGAGGTAACCGCTATTCTCAAGCTTAAGTTTGTTCAAAGCCTTTCCAGCGTCTTTCGGCTTCTGGAGGCCAGTTTGGCCGGGCGGCTCCTCTGGGAGCTGGGTCCCATTTCAAGCGGAGGCCAGGGTGCTCCTGAGTAGGGACGCAGAGCCACTCCCAAAACTCCTGCTCAGGGAGAGCCGACGCGTGGCAGGCACACTGTGCACCCAGCCGCCACGACAGAGGGCAGGCCTCAAGGGTCACCTCGGGACAGAGGCGATGCCGACACATGGCCAGCAAGACCAGGTCGCGGGCGCACAGGCAGCAGGGGGAGCAGAGGGAGGCCCTCCCTGCACAGCCAGGCAAGCGGAGATCGCCACAGCTGCCTCCAGAACAGACCCTGTGAGGCCAACGTGGGTACTGCAGGTTTCAGGGGACCCCGTCACCCTCATAAAACGCCAGGCAACACCTGGCGGGAAAGAACCAAGCACTGGGGTCTGGCAGACCTTGTCCAAAGCCTCTCCCCACTCCCCACGGTCCCGAGACAAGCCCGGCCCCTCTGCCAGCCTCCTCCCCTGGTCTGAGAGTGAGGCTCTCAATGCCTCCCTGGAAGTCCTGAGGTGACCCTTGGGGCCTGCCCTCTGTCCTGGTGGCCAGGTATGCAGTGTGCCCACCATGCATCAGCTCTGCCTGGGCGGGGCTTCTGGGAGTAGCTCGGCATCCCTACGCCCCCTTGAAACAGGACCCAGCTCCCAGAGGAGCCACCTGGCCAGACCTGTCTCTGGAAGCAGGAAGACGCTGGAAAGGCCTTGAACAAACTCACGCTGAACAACTCCATGGAATCCTGGGACAGAACCACCCCCTCCGCCATGGCCAGGTTTTAGAGTCGCATGTCTGCCTTTTTCCCTGGGAATCTGGGTCTCCAGATAACACAGACACAGCTGGCAACGAGTGAGGCTCTCAATGCCTCGCTGGAAGTGCTGACCCAGGAGGGCGACCGGCCCGTGCTGGTTCTCATCTTCCTGCCCAGAAGGACCCAGGTGCAGGGGTCGCCGCACGGCCCTGGAAGGCCCCCAAGGTGCTGGTAAGTGGCCTCTTCCGATCCCCAGCCCTCCCTTTGCGGGCTCTCTGGAGTTTGACCACTCCCTGCTGGCATCCTAGCCCTGACACTCACGGCCCCGGCCCCGGCCCCGGGAAAGGACACTCAGAGCCATCAACATCCTGCATGAGTTGGGAAACCAGCTGCAGGAACTTTCTTGGGACAAATTTTGCCCTGGGTCTTCTGAGGAATGACACTGCTCACCTCCTACTTAAGCGAGTGGGAGGCACAGGAGCTCATTTTCCAGGAGCTCACAGGCACGGCTCTCAGAGGCACCGACTGCCAACGCCCGCCAGCGACTGCCTTCCAGCGAGCACTGTGAAGAGAGCCAGGCTAGACCCCATTCCTCACTCCTCAGAGGGAGGGATGACAGCAGGGAGCGGGCATCTCAGAAGGCTGGAATCCTGGGACAGACTTGCCACCTCTCTATTTGGACAAGCTGGAGAGTAACTGTCCTTTTCTCTGGGAATTTGGGTTTCAAGACAACACTGAGACCCAGCATGCCAAGGCCTTTCACAAATGCTATGTACTTCGATTCTCAGAGCAGAAATGATCACCTCCCTTTACACACGAGGAAACTGAGGCTCTGAAGGATGATGTGACTCAGTGCTCCCTGGAGCGTAAGTGGCAGAGGGGGCACTCAAGCCCAGGGGTAGGCCACAGATCCAGGGTCAGCCCCGGCCCCGCTGTCTCCCAGTGGGTGTCCACATCCAGTGGCACAGACTTCCACTCGGGCATCAACAGAGTCTCACACCCTGTCCAGGAAATGCCAGCGTGACCCCAAGCACCACTCAGCAAGCCCCTTCTCGTTGCCCAGTGTGCTGGGGATGGCTTGTCCACCCAGTGCCCCCAGGCTCCGCCCTCCAGAGGCCAAGGCGAGGAACGGGCAGCCTCAGACGGAAGGTCTCCAGGGCTGCACGAGGGCAGAGGGCTGAGCTTTGGGCCAGTGCTCCTCCCGCAGTGCCCAGCATGACCTGCGAGACTCCGCCTTCGGAGAATGGGGACGCAGATGCTGGTCTCGGAAGAGCTGTGCGGACAGGCCAGAGGCCCACATACCCCCATGGTGGGCACAAGCTCTTCCGTCAGCCCTGCCTGCTTGCTCTCTCCCGCAACGTGGAGCCGGAGGTCAGGGCGCTGTGATGCGGGCCCAGGAAGCACTGAAGCCAGGGTGCCCACCGCAGAGCCACACTCCCCAGTCAGAGGAGCAATTCCTCAGCGCAAGTGGCAGGCGGACCCGCTGGCCTCCAGGAGGGCCACGGATTTGCCAACGCAGGAGAGCCAGCAAGCCAGGGAATCCTCAGGCTCCGGCTACTTTTTTGATTTATTGTGGAGATGAGGTCTCGCCACGTTGCCCAGGTTGGTCTCAAGCCCCAGAGCTCAGGCAATCCTCCCACCTCGCCTCCCAAAGTGCTGGGATTACAGGCATCAGCCACCATGCCCAGCACAGTCTCTCCAGCAATGACTTGTGTTTAGTGTCAGACATTCTGCCAGTCCTTCAATAAAGATGATCTAGACCAGAGTGGTGGTCTGTAATCTCAGCACTTCGAGAGGCCGAGGCAGGGAGAACACTTGAGTTTGAGGCCAGCCTAGGCAACATAGCAAGGTCACATCTCTAGGAAAACAAAAAACTAGCTGCCACACCTGCAGTCACAGCTGCTCAGGAGGCTGAGGCAGAAGGATCGCCTGAGCCCAGGAGGTTGAGGATGTGGTCCTGCCACTGCACTTCAACCTGGGCAAGAGTGAAAAAAAAGATGCATTTTATTTAATTATTCATTTATTTTTATTTATTTGAGTCAGAGTCTCACTCTGCAGCCCAGGCTGCAGTGCTGTGGCACGCTCACAGCCACCACAGCCTCAACCAGCTGGGCTCAGGCAATCCTTCTGCCTCAGCCTTCCAAGGCGCGTGCCACCACACCCGGTTAGTTTTGTGAAATGAGGTCTCCCAAGTTGCCCAGGCTGGGCTCAAACAATCCTCTTATCTCGGCCTCCCAAAATATTATTGGCGTGAGCTGCAACACCAAGCCTCAAAATATCTATTTTAATCTTTACAACTCGGGAGGTGTATGTGCCTACTTCTTTGATGAGAAACCTGAGGCACAGAGATAAGATGACATAACTGTCAGGGCACAGAGCCAACGAGCAGAGTTCTCAGGGGTCTTCTTCCCCCTCCTCCCTCCACTCCCACTGGACTCCACAGAAGGCAGAGGCTTTATCTGCCTTAATTGCTGGTGTATGCCCAGGGCACACCACACAGCAGGTGCTTAGTTCAGAGCTGCTGAATGAATCACCTAAGACTCAAATGCAGGAGAGAACCCTAAAGTCCAAGTTCCCTCCACTGCATCACAATCACATGCATGATGCTTTTTGCTATAAAATACTATATAAAGCCGGGCGCGGTGGCTCACGCCTGTAATCCTCATACTTTGGGAGGTGGAGGTGAGAAGACTGCCTGAGCCCACAGGTTCAAGACCAACCTGGGCAACATGGTGAGACCTCGTCTCTACAATAAATCAAAAAACTAGCTAGGAGTAGTGGTACTTGCCTGTGGTTCTAGCTCCCTGGAAGGCTGAGGCAGAAGGATTGCCTGAGCCCAGCAGGTCAAGGCTGCAGTGGCTGTCAACGTGCCACTGCCCTCCAGCCTGGGTGACAGAGTGAAACTCCGACTCAAAAAAATAAAAATAAATAAAGCACTATATAAATGTCTTCATGTGCAGCTGTGAAACCCCTCCCCTTGCTGTTCCTGTCAGGACTCCACACAGTTATATGACTGCTAGGGCCACAGAGAGAAGTGAAAACACACCCGGATGAGAGCAGGAGGCACCTTCCAGAAAAGGAACTGGGCATCTCAGATTCTCGGTGGCAATGCCTCCATCTCACATGGTATTCAGGACCCAGAAAGAATGTTTTTGGAGAAGAGAGATGGAGATCTACATTCGAATTCTCAAGAGACTGCACATGCATGGCAGTCGGGGGGGAAGAACTCTGAAGAGGCGTGCCCTCGGAAGCCACACTCTCTCAGCCCGAGTCAGGCCGTCAGGTGGAGCCCAGCCCTCTGTCGGAGGGTGGCCACCAGGGATGATGACTTCCTGACACCACGCTGGGGCTCCTCGGCCCCTGGTGACGAGGAATGAGGGTGATGAGAGCATTCCAGCTGCTTCAGGGAGGAGAATTCAAGTCTCTGTTGCTTGAGATTTAGGCCAGGAGAAACTTCGTAGGGGCTGTTGTGAGAAACACATCTGTAAAGGATGAGCAATAAGATTGGGGGCCCCTATAGCTGGGCATGGGGGCACAGGCCTGTAGTTCCAGCTACTCGGAAGGCTGAAGCAGGAGGATCACCTGAGCCCAGCAGGTCGAGGCTGTGGTGGCCATGAGTGTGCCACTGCAGTCCAGCCTGGGTGACAGAGTGAGACTCCAACTCAAAAAAAAAAAAAAAAGGCTGGGGCCCCAAAGTAGCAAGGATCGCAGAATGCCCAGGGCCTGCAATTTCAACTCAACAGATGAGGAAGGGTGGACCCAGAAGAAGATGTTATGCTTCTTGTT